AGATCTCCTACGAACGTAATGACAATAACTCTGGAGGAGCCTCTGGGAAAAGTGATCATGTGGTCCGGCGACTAATGCTAGAAAGCAGGTACAACAAATCAGAGGCTAAACTGGTGAAGCGATATGGCAAAATCAAGCAGGACGAACTGGTCAGAGCGGCACGGGATATGAACTCGTTTCCCACTTAGTCGATGCATCTCTGGGAACCAGAGGGAGGCATATCAAGGCAGTACTACTCCCACTGACGGACAGGTTCGCGCCTTTGGTTCAGTGAAGAAAGAAACGACGTCCTTCTTGGTGGAAGGCAAATATAGATAGAGCTATAGCAATTCGCAAAAGACGGTGTTCAGGTTGTAAACTGTATGGCACCCATGAATCGTAGAATGGTTACAAACCAGCGCGCAACTATACGCAGAAATTGCAAAGGAAGGCTCAATACCAATTGGAGAGGAGCTTGGCACAAAACATCAAGCGAAATCCTAAGTGTTTCTATGCACATGTCTCATCTAAGCAAAACACCTGAGAAACGGTTGATACTCTAGAATCTTTAACCAGAGAATTAGCGGTGAGTGACGACGATAATTCACACATCCTGTTACAGTTCTTTAAATCGCGATTTTACTTGCGCTACACCAAGTTGTGTCCGCCGTCATCGTGGAAGATATATTTCTGTCTTGTGTACTTCCTCCTGTGGATTTACTGTGTAATTATGTGCAGCAAGGACACGAAGAGAAACTCTCCGTTCTCAAAGTGCAAGAAGATAGTCGATCTTCGTGCGAAGGCCCTATTATTTTATGTGTCAATGTTGGCGTCATGTTACATGTACTAGCGTACCGTCAGACATGTATACAGCTCTCCAGTCGCGTGACTCCCTAAATTTGAAGTTTTTATGTGACGCCTGTCTCCCCACATTCCGCACACCGAGCGCCGCCGACTGATACCGCCGATGAGCAGAGATGACCGAGGGCGTGCAACCAACAACGCGCGACCAACCTCAAGTGAGAGCCGTGCAGCGACAGCGATCGAGCCTGGATCTCCTGCACCTATTCAGACACCGCCGGAACCACCAGCTTCGTTGTCCAACACCAACACCAGATCGTACGCCCGAGTTGCTGCTGCCACGCGTGCCTCCAACAGTGCTGTGACCAGCGTCGCCGAACGCCCTTTGACCCAGCCGGCATCCCGAGGGGCCCCCAACCCCAGGCCAGTCCCCCGACCGGCCGTTGCAGAAGACCTGCGACGGGAACGCCCCTCAAGACAGCAATGCTTCCTAGCTGTCAATAAATCGGAGTCCACGGAACCCTTGGCGCAAGCCCGGCTTAATGCGGACATATCCTTGCTTCGAGGAGTTCTGGCCAGACTCTCCATCCCTGGCGAGGAAACACAGGCCCAGGTGATAGGAGTGAGGGCCGCTTTCAGGATAGGAGTCAAGCGGGAGGGCAGTGCCCCTCGTCCACTGAAAGTCGTCCTCAGATCGATGAAGGAAACCAAGTCTGTATCACAGTGCGCCTTCCACCTTCCGCTATCCTACACGAGCACGTTCATGAAATCGTTATGTGTTATCGCGCGAACTGCACCTTTTGTGAACTATTCCAATAATGAGAGAAATAAATTCAAGCGGATGATCAAAACACAAAACGGCAGAAAGAGAAAGCATCGAGCAGGCTGGTAAGTCGCTCTCAGACAGTGCAGCACTAGTCAAATGCAAATTGCTCTCATTTCAACATGCAATGTTCGTTCTCTGTTAGGAAAAGTCGAGGAAGTAGTGGACATCAAAAAGAAAAGAGTACAAAAACCTGGGAATTATTATACTTCAGGAATCGTGGCTACATGAAGAAATCCCTAGTGAAATTTTACAGGTGGATGGATATAACTTGTATCGAGTTGACCGCCCTGCAAGTGTACGTAAACGAGGTGGAGGTGTGGCAAGTTACGTCAGCGAAAACTGGAGTAAATCAACTGCTCTCATTTACGAATACTCAAAGGTTAAAATCAGTTGTCATGTCATCGAATGTAAGCCCCGCTTTTGGAGTGGGTTTCATTCCACCCCTCTTGGAAACTTTTACCTGTCACTTAAAATATCGGTTGCTGACATAAAGAGCTACTCTGACATTTTTCTACCTCCGTAATAGCAAAAACAAGTGACTATTTGTGTATATTTGCTGGTGATTTCAACAGACATGATGTAACATTCCTCACCACACTGGGTCTACAAAATTTAGTACTTTTTCTTACAAGACTGAATTCACAGCTTGATTTCGTTTTCACAAACAGGCCACAATTTTTTAAAGTCCAGAAACGCGCTCCCCTGAGCAGTTCAGACCATTGTATCTTAAAAGTATGTCCCACGGTACACAGCAAACCAGCGGATACAGATTTTTAAGGCGGCCTTACAAGATAATGAGTCAAAGAAACTGTTCATCAAAGAACCTAGAACGGCCAAGATCCATGATCGCCGCCACCGATTTTTCGGTGTTTCCCGATCAAAACCCATCTAACCTCTGTGAACATGGTACGGACTACTTTATTGTCTGTTTTAACCAGTGTTGTCTACTAGAAACGGTCTTTATCCATAAAGACAGATACTCATCACCGCTACTCAAGCAGTTACGCAGGCGGAAAGAACAAGCAAGGACAAATAATCCATGTCAAGCGGCTAACAATTTCGAGCAAAGCTGAAATAAATCGGTTGAACAAACTGTACATCGACACTATCCTGGGAAACTCTAGTTGTCGTGGCACGTGGAGGTCTAGTAACCGATTGTGTGGCAGTAGCCGTAAACACAAAAAGGAAACTGTCGATATTAAAAGACTAAATTCTGAGTTTAGTCCAGTTTCACGGTGCACTGCCCTGCCAGACTTAGTCAGCTCTATGCCAACACCAACTATCGAACTCGCCACAGTCCTGAAACGGCTACTAAAAACCAAGTTGAATAAAGCATCGGGCCCTGACGAACTATCACCATTAGTACCCAAACATGTGCGAATACCCTTTCAGCCCCATTGTCACAAGTATTCGACGACTGTCTCACAATTGGAAGAATTCCTGATATTCGGAGGCTGGCCGAGATAACTCCCGTTACAAAAAAGGAACCCGGGAAGTATCGTCCCATCGCCTGCACGTCAGTCTTGCTCAAATTATTTGAGAGATGCTTATTACCGTGGGTTGCCACTGAGTCTGACGAAGAAGACATATATCAATTTGCATATCACACCTCGCGGTCAACACTGGACGCCGTTGCATATCTCGTTCATTCAATAATCTCGGCACTAGATAAGAAAATTAAGGCCGTCAGAATGATGTTCTTAGACTACAACCACGCTTTCGGCAGTCTTGATCGATCAGTAATACTCAACCTGATTACTGAAAGTGGTGTAAATTCAAACGTTAGCAGACTTATCTTTGATTATTTCACAGGTAGAAAGCAGTTTACATGTTTCAACGGAAAAAAGTCCTCCACTCGGTCAGTTTCTTCTGGTGTCCTGCAAGGTGCAATATTTTCCCCATATTTCTTTTTTGTGTATGTCAAACAATTTCCTATTCCTCCTGCATTCATTGACTGTAAATACGCTGATGACGCTGTTATAGGTTGCAAAGCATCCACCCCAGAA